TTTTTTTTTTCAGGGAAAAAAGTCTCAGAATACTTAAGAATTAATCTTCTTACCAGCAAAACCAAAACACATTCCTCGTAAGCGAAGTTTACCTGCTCGATAAACCAGGACTTTCCATACACGAAAAACAGGAGATTTTGTTGAATCTTCGACCACGAAATCATTTTTTTGTTTGTTATAGCTTTTGCCTATCGTCTCGTGAATGCTTAAAACAAACTGCATCATGATGCTAGTTGGGCCTAATGTTACGTTGTTACACATCGTTATTAAAGCCCCTTTAAAGGAGCTACGTCACAGCTTGTGCATCTTAAAAAGTTTAGCCAAAATTTTTCAAGTTCGTAGTTTGTAATCCGTGTCAATCTTCTCTATCTTTAAGTATCCTTGCAATTGTTCCTCTATGGTTTATTATTCTTTGGTGTTTATCTATCTTTAATAGTAAGCAACTATTTTCAGGTTTCCTTCCGCCAAATTAAATGGTTAGTTTTTACGTGGCTAAAATACTGAACTGAAACAAATCACGATTGTGTTCCCTTAAAATTGTAACTTTCCAGATTTTTACCTGGAAACACGAACGTAATTATTGGGTATATATTAGTAATCCCAGTAAATCATTGTAATCCCAGTACGCAGAAGAAAAGTGTGCTTTAAAATGAAATTTCACAATGTGGTAAGAACAAAAAGGTGGCAGACGAGGCGATTGCCAAGTGTGTCACTGATGATCTTACCGCATTTGTGATCTGTTACACTTGTGATCTATTACTGAACAGACGTAATGTATTTTGCCATTTGTTCTAGGTACACTATATAGCTGGTCTTTGATTTTGTATGGAACAATTACAGATCCGCGAAAAAATACCTCCGGTCTCATTGCACCGTCAAAGCTTCCTTTAACTCCAGCCGCACCAACAGGTACTGTCACTACATCCAAGAGGTCACTACCGACTACCACTGGTAGGCGAATCTGTTTTCTATTTTGCTAAAAGCTCTTTGGTGAATAAATTAGTTACAAGTTGATTTTGTAAAGATTGAAGCGTAATTGAAAAGACGTGCGCAGAACTTGACCCCTCCCCGCATCCCCTTTTGTTGGGTGTAACTCTCGCTCAAAATCAGGGACATCCAACGAATCTCTAAAGACCTCTCAAAAGAATGTGAATTGGGTGCGAGGCGAGAAGTCTGTGACTCAGGTGAACTAAAAGCATCCTGATTACGTGTCGAAAGAAGTAAAAAGTGCTTGTGTATGTTGATGTTGTGAGGGCGTTGCACTCCGGATTGGGTGGTCAGGTCTGAAGAAACCGAGTGACCAGGGCGCCGCACTTGAAATTCGGAGGTTGCGGATTCACGTCCCGTTTTGACTATTGCCTGGTGTTGTTCTGGGTAGTTCCGAGCTCAATTCCTTGGCTGTGCTTGTAAATAACCACTGGTGTGCGTCCTGCCAATTGAGACTTTTAGCCATTCATTTACATTATCCATTGTTCGTTTCCACTACCCCTGGTAAGCTAGCTTGCGAACGCTGACGTATTACTGAAAAGCCTCGTTCAATGGGGAAGTGGTCAATCAAGAAACCACACAATCTAGGGGAGTGGCGGGGGGGGGGGGGGGGGGGGG